AAATTGAATTTTTATTCATTAAGAAAATTATTTATTATTAAATTTTTTAACGTTCATCCTGCGGCATGATTATAACCAACTTGCAAGATTATGAATCCTATCAAGATGAGTTGCGATTGAATGAATCTGTAAAGATGTCACCGGAATCGCGAAGACCCCTTTTGAATAAGAAAATTATACATGATTTAAGAGGCGATCACAATCAGGTGATAAATATCTCCTCAAGTTTTAATGAACAATCCTGTGAACCGGTATGAAAGTCGTACAGCCATGTCCGTCTTTGTCAACGTAACAACATAATAATAAAGCATAATAATCTTTACCCTTTGGACAGAGAATCTTTACCCTCTGGAGGAAGAGGAAGAGTAGGCCTATGACAAGTGAAAGATCCACAACAGCCGGTTAAGAAGTAAGTCGATAAAATGTTGACGATTATGCAGCATAAAGTACATGAATAACCTGTTATGCGAAGAAGTAACCGGAACACGTCGCTATAGGTATTTCTTAAGCCAGAAATCCTAAAATTCATTGTGACCGATGCAGCAACAAAGACTTTTGTGTGGAACTAAGTTTTCGTTTTTGTAATCAAAGAATGAAGCAACTTCTGCCATAATGGTGCCAAGCTACGTAGTATAACATCGTTGTGTTACTGTTGTAAAATGAGGAGACGGATCGATCATGGTCAGAAACTTTGAAGAATATGCAGATAGAGGAGGTAGAGTTTATGAAAACAGTTGAAAGTTAGGCAAGTACAAAATGTGCAACCCTTCTTGAACGAGCTGACCGGATTCCAAAAGTGTGAAAGAATCTCAAGTTTTTATCTGCAGAGAATTATGAATTGAAGTCACTACATACGTGGGAGCTACTCTGTGATTGATGAATGTGTGTTTCGAGTTTTGCAGCCATTGGCACGTTCGAAGGTGATGAGTGTTACTTTGCTTTCTTATCTTACTGCTTAAATGAATGAATGAATGAATGAACGAATGAATGAATGAATGAATGAATGAATGAATGAATGAATGAATGAATGAATGAATGAAATATCATTTGACAGATGCTCTGATTGACGTGGCTCAATTGACCTTCTCTGATCGGTTAAATTCGTTTGTCTACTTCCTCCTACATCACCAGCGTGGCGAAGTCGTTAAACATATGCGTGTAACATTAAGTCGGTAGACTGAGTTAATTTCGGCATGTGGTATCTGCTTGCTAACAGATTGACCTTGTTTCACTGCATATTCTTTGTCTGATTTACCTCCTTTTTCGTATTTACTCCGTTGCATGTACTCGAGCAAACGAACTTTCTAATTAGTTACTTTGGTACTTGATTCGCATGGTCATCATTTAGCCTGATTCCGATTATATGAAGTTCTTCATATGTACTGCCATTTCTGGAATGATGAGGGATAAGCCTTTAGTTTTTCCCTGCAGCAGAGATTGGATTTGCCTAGCATGTTATTAACTATTCGATGATGATTAATTAAATTTACATTTAATTAATTGCACATAACTTTTCTTCTACCGTTGTAGTCGACGGAAACAGCATCGGGCCATTCTTCTGCAGAGACACAGTCGGCGGGTCAAAGAGCCAAGCTCCATTTGTTGAGGGAACAACGAGGTTGACGGGCACGAGGATGTCTATTCCTTCCTTGGCCGTCAATCGAAACGTACATTCTACCAGGTTCCTTGGTAGAAATGCCAGTTCTATGTTAACATGCGCAACGGCGGTCGACTTCAAAGCAGACAAGTGGATCGAATTCATGACCACGGTTTGACGGCCATCGGAACTTTTAAATAGCTAAATAGAAATTTTGTCAAGCAGCTGAATTCAATTGGCATATGAAGGGCTTTCTGAAAAGTGAATTTTAGATCAACATCAATACATATTATGTTAATATACGAATAAATTATTATCCTTATACCCTAGCATACGAAGAGTACCAGCTCCTGAAACATGGTTCGCAATAACCGCGAGGTGGCTGTAGTAAAAAAATAATGTAAGATACATTTAGCACTGCAGATATTTATATGCCACAGACCTGTGGCCTGATTAAGCCCCCTCCCATAAGAGAAGCCGGAGTACAGGAGCTGTGCAATAGGACGTATGTATAGTGAGAAATATTAGATATTCACTTTGCGATGAAATTATGATGAGGCAAACAAATAAGAGCACAGCTGGGGATATTACGAGTTTTATGCACGGTATACGACTTGAAAAGGTTTCACCAACAACTTCTAGTGACTTCTTCAAACTATAACTCTCAGATCTTTGTGTTGCTGTGTATTCTCATAGGCCAGCTTATTTCAATTTCCTTAGCATTTGGCCTGGTAGGTCGATCGATAGGACGCCGGACTCTCCTGGGAGATACGATTGGCGATTTCAATCCCGGCATGCTTAGTCCCCTTTCATCCATTCGAAGTAGATAAATTATCAGCAGGCGCGGGAAGAAAACAGACGGTTAACTGTGGTGCGACCAAGCTGTAGAGATTGTCCTCAGAAATAATGTCATGAGGATTCGCACCTCTCGCATAAAGCAGGTGGCCACAAAATACCCTTATCATGAAAATTTACGGTAGACAAACGAAACCACCTTTTAGACTATGACAAAAGTGGTGATAAGCGAAATTACATTCTTCAATCCATTAATGGATTTTGTAGGAAATTACAGTATTATAATCTGAATGCAGGTCATCTGAATAGATTTTAAAACTAAGAAAAGGTAGTTTATCCTATTAAATGAACTGGTGGAACAGAGACCATTTACTCCAACCTTGCTGCTCCACACTGGGAGCCGAAACACGACCACCGTAGTCCAGGAGGCCTGCAACACGGACGAACACGGTAGAGACAGATGCTTTCAGAAGCAAATTGTTCCTCATACGATGTTTCAATTGATAGCATAATAGTTATCACTTTCAATGATTGATGAGAGCCAAGGTGCAGTACAATAAGCAGTATTTTTCATGACCGTGAGGACCTTGAAATAGCCAGTTATTCAGGCAGTGGCTCTCCCAAAAATAGTAGGAATAGTAACGGAAGAATACTCAGTTTGTGTCGTTTTTTCTCCCTATGTGACAACAGAAACGCAATGTGTAAAGATGGCTGAGGTATAATGTTAAAAAAGTAAAAAGAAACAGCTTTCAATGGATTATTGGGATGACGAATGCGTGAAAATTCGGCGAAGAACTTATTTTCAGCTTTATATGTTGATGACGTCATTCTTCTGAATGAAGATCGAAAATTGTCATTCTAAAAAGGGGACAAATGACAATGTCCATTCAAGGGGAAGATGACCATCAGCGACTAAGTTTCAACAAAGTTACTGAGCCGGTTTTTTTCAGCTGTTGACCATACAAGGCTTATATTTTGTTGTTTTCTATGTTTTCTTGTCTTCCATAACGTAGTGTCAGATCTCCCTTCGTCTGACCAGTGAATCGCCATTCTAACTGTTTGTGACGAGGGTAAAAATGATTAAAAATTTCGATTATGAATGCTTGTATCGTAACTCTTCCGTCCGACGTTATGGTCAGAGATAATTTTGCTACACAGGCCTGAACGGCTTTCTTAGTATGTTCTTCTCAATTTAGCTTTGTAATGCGACCCCTTACTCTGGTCCACGACCTGAGGATATACGTTGCATAACGGATAGCCCAGACGATGCAACTTATTTGAGAGGTATAAAACAGACATCGTTGCTACTACCTTCAGCTCAATTTCATGCACATCTCGATAGCCAATGTTCTTTAGCATCGCTCTGAACGAACAGCGTTCGGCCATAGGGCATCTGACTGGATTTGCTTCTGGCAGAAACTGAAGTCGGTCCAAAAGCACGGTGTATGACTCTCCCTCGTTAGCGAGTGCCGAACTGTTGAGAGTCGCCATCGCCGGATGACACACGGTGAACGTCAAACTTTCGACCGGTTCCAAAGGGGACACATACTCGGCCACAAACCGGCCAGAGTCAGTACTCCAGAAGGTCATGCTTTGCTCAAAGCACTCTTTGACGTACGTCTTCAGTACAATTGGAACTCGTCGCATGAACACTTTCAGAAACTTCACGTAGCCATCGATCACGAATGTGTTGTGGTCGGTTCTGTTCACGGATCGGATGACAGGCGCATAGCTGGGTAGCACGTTCAGGTCAAAGGAAGCCGATGTCACAGTGTCAGTTGAACGTCCAACGACTTCGACATGCACCGGCTGATCGT